CTGCAGTGGCCGGGAGCGGCCACTGCACTCCAGTATGGGTGACAGAGTGAGACTCCAACTCAAAAAAAAATAAAAATAAAAATAAAATAAAATCTGAGCAGAGACATCAGAGGCTGCACACTATGGAGGATTCAGATTTTATAGTTTAAAATGCATCTACTATTGTAGAAAGTACAGAAAGCTTGACTTAAACAAAGAGAACACAAAGCTCAGGAAAACAATTCAGAATCCAGATACATATCATCTGAAATATCTCGTTGTCAACAAAAAAAACATGAGACAGGCAAACAAACAGGAAAGTATGATCCATATTTAGAGCAAAAACAGCAAATGATAGAATGTGACTCTGAGCAAGTGCAGATGCTGAATGCAGCAAAGACTTCAAAGCTGCTACTATAAGCATGTTCAAAAAATTAAATGAAAACATGACGACTATGACTCAAGAAACAGGGAATCAAAAAAAAAGTGGAAATGGAAATTCTGAGTTGAAAAGTACAAACACGGAAGGAAAAAGTCACCATATGTAGGGGAGGGAAGGATGAACAGGCAGAGCACAGAGGATTTTCGGGCAGTGAAATTGTTCTGTGCAATGCCACAATAGTAGATGCATGTCATTACACCTCTGTCAAAGCCTGCAGAACACACAACACCAAGAGGGAACCCAGTGCAAACTAGGTGCCCAGGGGGATCATAGGTGTCAGAGCAGGTGTGTGGGTGTAACAAACATACCACTGGGCACAGGAGGGTGGCAGTGTGGGGGTGTGTACATGCGGGGCCAAGGGGATATGTGAAATCTCCAAACCTTCTACTCAATTCTGCTAGGAATCTAAAACTGCTCTAAAAAAGGAGTCTATTTTTAAAAAAAATTCACTAGATGAACTCAACAGCACATGTAAGATGGCAGAAGATAAAATAATAGATGAAAACTTCCCCAAGTTGGTAAAACAGAACAAAACACTCAGCTGCAAATCCAAGATGCTTACTCAGGCCCAGACAGGATAAATGCAAAGAGACCTACACCTAGACACATCAACAAACAAATAAAGGCTGAAGAAAATCCTGAAATCAGCAAGAGAAAAGAATGATTCTTCATGTATGAGGAACAATTTGATGGACAGATGACTTCTCTGCAGAAACAATGGAGCACAGAAGGCAGCATGATGTCATTTTTAAATGCTGGGAAGAAGGAAAAAAAAAAAACCTGTCAATCAAGAACCAGGCTGGGTGCAGTGGCTCACATCTGTAATTCCAGCACTTTGAGAGGCCAAGGTGGGAAGACTGCTTGAGCCCAGGAGTTCAAGACCAGCCTGAGCAATAGAGCAAGAACCCGTCTTTACAAAAACTTAGCTGGGCATTGTAGTGCACACCTGTAGTCTCACCTACTTGGGAGGCTGAGGCAGAAGAATCACCCGAGCTCAGGAAGTCAAGGCTGCAGTACGCTTGGATCATGACACTGTACTCCAGCCTGGGCAACAGAGTGAGACTCCAACTTAAAAAAAAAAAAAAAAGAATTCTATATCCAGTGAAACTATTCTTCAAATTTAAAGGTGAAATAGACATTCCCAGATAAACACTGGATTGTTGCCAGCAGACCTGTCCTACAAGAAATTCTAAAGGCTGTCTGTCAGATAAAAAGGAGATGACACTAGACGGTATCTTAGATTCACAGGAAAGAAGAAAAGGTAACAGAAATGGTAAACATGTGGGTGACACCAAGGACTGCATAGGTTTGCATATTTTCTCTTCTTACTTCTCTTAAAAATAAGTTTGAAACACTAGTGACAACACTGAGTAGCTGCATGTATAACACACACAGACATAATCTATGAGAGGAAAGCACCCAGGAGAGGGAGGAATGCTGTAGAAACATGGCTCTCCCTTAGAGGATTAATCAGAACTAATCTGTGATCACTTTGCAGCATGAACACTGAAACTGGAGCAATGCAGAGAAGTTAGCATGGCCCTGCACAAGGATGACTCACAAATTTACGAAGTATTCCACAATTGTAAAAATCAGTACTAATCTGAAGTAATGTGAAGTTAAAGACACACACTGTAACCCCTAGAGCAACCACACAGAAAATGACACAAAAAAAGCACAGCTGAAACATTAACAGAGACGGATGGCACTAGGTTGACAGAGTGGGCGGCTCCTTGGACCCACTTTTCCACTAAAGCAACAAACAAGCTGTCAGAAACTGTCACAGCCAGCTGTGTTGGACTCTGGACCTGACAACAACCAGATGAATGCCTGTGGAAGTGAAGCTGTGGAATCTCAGGAAAAGCTGTGACAAATGCTTCTCCGCCGACCATCTGCTGCTCCCCAGCACACTGGACCTAGGGGAAGGCCCCTGGTGTGGCCTACTGGTGCTAGAGTTGAAATAGCGGTGGTTATGTGCTTTGACCTTCCTGGTGTCTCCCTGATAGATGGCCTTAAAGGTTGTATGGAACTCTCAGACCCTGGGCAGCCTCCAGAGTAGCCTTTGCTGAAAGCATTTAACTGTAGGCACTACCTGAAGCTGCCTGGGGCAGCAGCAGCAGCAAAGGAATGCCCCAGGAAGTACAGGCCAGGAAAAGAGTTGCAAAGGGAATGCAGCTTAGAGAGCTTCCGCATGTGTCTGTGTGCACACACCCAGGCTATACACATGCTCAGAGAGCCATGGAAACCCCTGGCTGAGCTCCAGCCTCTGTGAAGCAGGAAGCAAAGGTTGAGGAGGAACTGTGGGTGGCCTGGTTAGGCACTGAGGAACACCCCAACAGGGACAGTCTGTAAAGGATGGAAGAGGATCTGTTTCCTTCTTGATTCCAGACATCTAAAGACATCTCTAGTTGACCACCAACCTAACAGAGCAGAGACTTTGATAAGCACTCATGACAGAATACAGCCTTGACAAAAACA